ATTTAAGAGAGGCTCATTAAGCAACCTTTTTAGCGCTCATGGTAATTTACATTGCTGCCTCGTTGCCCTAAAGTGTGCACTACACGGGGTTTTCGTCTGTCAGACAATGGCACGCTTTAGTAATTGCCCTATGTCACTGACTGGAGTACCGTCAACGAATTATAGATAGCCAGAAATTTCATATGAATGAGAACTTAGCTCAGACAAAAGACTGTGACTTAAATAAAAATCTAAATATAAAATCTTATGCAATATAACTTTTTTACCGTATATTTCCTTCAAGGCCAGGTTTCACGTCGTATAGCACCGCTTCCTTGATCCTATTTTCCGTTGGAATCGTGTCCTGTTTAAATGTTCCCTCCGCTTAAGCAGCAAGGGTAAAGTGCTATACGGCATGAAATCTGGTCTTAGAGGAGTTCTGTTTTCTGACATATTCGAACCTGTAAACACACTGCGATGTTAATGACATTTTTATAGTCATTTTTAATTTTTGCGTTTTTGATTTTTGGTCTGTTGTAGGGATGGGGGAGGGGCTAGAACGGATTGCAGCCATAAAGCACAAGTGTCAGGCATCATGTCCGTACGTCTTGCAAGTTTTTCCTTGGCCATGCGAAGATATGCTTTCCCTATTATTCGCAAAGCAAAGATTTGCTGACCTTTTCTCGATCGGTTGTTTCGAAATACGGTGAAGTGAATTCCTTTCTCAAGGAAATATGACATTGAAGAAGGCAAAATTTACGCAGTGCGTTAGGTTTGAACTCGCTATCTTTGAAATGCAAAGCAAACTATTGACCCAAATTGCTTCCTCCTGAACCCAGTAATTGATTAACTTGATTATTAATTTGTCAAAAATTTTTTTGGTCATTATATGTAACATTCTTTCGTTTTAGCCTACGGATTTCGCTAATATTCCCGTTGACGATGCAGAAAGCTCGTGCACCTTTAAGCAATTGGTGAGTAATGTCGTAAGGTGAACTGAGTTCTTTTAAATTTTCTTATCTATTTTTTTCTGCATTATTATTGAGACCTTCTTGGGGTACACATCAGGGGGTAACTCCAGTAGCAGGATGGTTGACTAAAAGTATCGACAGTAGGCTGACTTTGGTTCAGCCATCTGCAAGGTAAACTTGACGATTATTTGACAGATGTGGCGGGAATAATGATAGTGCCATGTAAGTAAAACAGAACGTCTGAGAGGAAGCATGACTTCATGTTTTGCAAAATATCATTGGAGTACTTTCATGACGAAACTTTATCGATACTGCCATCCAGTCTCCTATCACTTCTCCGGATTCACAAGACATCGTTGCGCCACCCCCTTTGCTTCTGGAGCTTATGGAACGCAGTTTAATCAGGCCACGACTCCAGTGTGGTGTTTTCGCACCGGCAGTTCGTAGGCGCTGAACTTCTCCATTTTGTTTAATCCAGCAATAGCCTGTTCGAATGCCAACAGAAATACGTCGATCGTTGACATATATATTAAAAATCTTCTCTGGATGAGTGACAGGAAATTGTTATTTTTCCAGCTGTATCGAAAACCAGCAGTTTGCTAGTAAACTGAGGTTTGTTTTTTCCTACTCTCTATTAGAGATCTGGATATACCTAGAAAGTGTGCTTTTCACCACAGATGGTAACAGAGCGTATACCTGTCATTTGTTTGTATTTTGACGGTATAACTGTGCTGCATTACGGTAAGGTGGTATCTGCAGTAATAAGTTCCAAACTGCATAAATAATAATTTATTTTGTCATTGCGATAGTGTAACATCCAGTGCTACCTACTGCAGCGTGGCCGCTTTACTGTTTTACATAAACATTCAAACATAAGAGAGAGAAAAAAACATTGACGTAGTATTAACCAAAGAGTAGTACAGAAAAGCAGCCCTACTGCAGTACAGGGTTAGGCCGACTAGTTTGCTTTTAGACATAAATAAAAGTGCCATGCGATCGAGAAACAGGTATTTGGTGCCCCTTATTAAATCTTAGACAGTGCTCAGTCAATTCGTTTCACCATATTGTTTTATTGCATTGTGTGTTGATAAACCATGTTTGGTGCAGTTTTTCAGTATGACCACCGACGAATGAACGGAATTCTTCATTTTTGGGTTTATTTTTGTTTGAAGATTGAATAATTTAGGGAGTGGTTGATGTGCTCTGTGAGGCATGCAAACTTTTGCAATTCATTCATCCAACCAAGATTCAAAGAAAAGCAATCCCACTGGCCTTAAGTGGTGAGAATCTGATATACTGCGTGTGATGTATTTGTTGTATTTACCTTTTCTTTCGAAGGCAAGGACATAATTGGTCTGGCTGAAACTGGTTCGGGCAAAACCGCTGCATTCGCTATACCGATTTTGCAGGCGCTGCTGGCGCACCCGCAACGGCTGTTTGCCCTGATTTTGACGCCAACTCGAGAACTGGCCTACCAGACCGCAGAACAGATCGAGGCTTTGGGCGCCGGCATAGGAGTGAAGAACGGTAGACGGTTGCTGTTATGTTAGTATAGCACACTGAGACATCCTTAAGTTTAGCTGTGATCGTTGGAGGCATCGATATGATGACGCAGGCGATGTGCTTGGGCAAGAAGCCACACATTATTATAGGTTTTACAACCGTTTGCTTATTTAATGCTGTATTTTACTTGTTTTGTTTCTAGCGACCCCTGGCCGCTTGGTAGATCATCTCGAGCACACGAAAGGCTTTAATCTGAAATCCGTGAAATATCTGGTATTCGTTACTTATAAATTAGATATGGTTTATAAAATTTAAAATTGACTTTTGTTATGCTTATCGATAACTCAGAGAACCTAGGGTAGTTCACTCGATGGACTGTCTGACTAACTCTAGCTGTCGTCCATTGTCGTGCTTTCAAATTCCGATCTCTGGTCATTCGCCTTGCATTCTTTTGAGGTAGATAAATAAGTTGCAGTACCAATCACCTAGTGATATATTTTGCATTTTACGGCTTAGGTTACACAGTTTGTGCAGCGTTTGACTCAGAATGAAGAGGACGTGGGTTCGAGCCCTGGTCAGATCACTCGCCGTTCTTCTTTCCGAGGTTGATAAATGAGTACTACTGTGTACGAAGGAGGTGAGAGACTCTACATTATGCTTATCTAATAGGTGGTATCGACTGCTTTTTAAAGAAAGCACTCCTGGTTGAATAAATGAAATTGGATCAGCTGCTCGCCATGAAAGAAATGCACCACAATAACCCCGTTATGAAAATGGAAGAAATGCCGATATTCTAACATAATTTTTTTCCTCCCATATATTTGACACTGAAAAGCAAAGTATTCATAATATAGAAATGAAATAGGGGTTACAAATGATTTTATTCATTAAAGTCCAAGCGATTGCAAGCTTATCTTTCTGTTTCTTTATTTATTAAAAAGTTTTTTGTTGTACGTTTCATGCTGCTATGTATTTTTTCCTATTGCCACTGTACGGTGGTTGGTTTGCCAGATTTCCTTGCTACAGATTGCGTGAATTTCAACGAACAGGTATAATATGCAATTTTTGACGTTAGGTGATGGACGAAGCAGATAGAATATTGAACATGGACTTCGAGAAAGA